TTCTACTTAATAACTAGGTCTTTTCTTTAATACTATAATATATATTAATATCTTTAATGTTTTTTAATCCTAGGGAGATAAGCTTAATAGTAATTATTATTTTAAGATAAGCTACTTACTTATTTATTCCTTTACTATAATAGAGGTACTCTTCTCTCTTTTTATTCTTCCTTAATTCCTCCCCTTTAAGATAAAAAACTTCTAATATTAATAATAAGCTTTATATATATTTTATTAAGTATTTAGCTAATTAAATAATTATAGTCTTACTAGTAGCTATAGCTTAAGCTAATACTACCTTTTCTAAGATTAATTAAAAGACTAAGGGAGGGTTAATATAATAAGTATAACCCTTAAGTAAAGTTTTATTTTATAACTCTTTAAAATACTCTTATTAATAGTATATAAGTACCTACTTTTAAAGTTTAAGTAGTATATTATTTTAATCCTAACTTACTTTACTCTTTATAGCTTTATTAATCTCCTTAGTTATACTTTATATATACTTAATTATATCTAGATATATATAAAGTTAAGCCTTCCTTAATAGTAGAAGTTATATTAGTAATCCTAGCTACTAAAATTAAGATAAGTCTTAAAAATAATTAATATCTTTATAGTTTAATAGCTCTTATAGGAAGGCCCTAAGGCTAACCTATAATAAAATAAAAGTAATATAGCTTTACTTAAAAATTTATATATCTTTTTATAATAAATATTAAGATCTTTAAGCTATAGTATAAGCTTCTATAGGAGTATTAGTAAATATATATTAAATCTTATTAAGATAAGTAGATAAACTATTAATATACTTTCTAATCCCTCTTTAAATTATATATATAGAGGCTCTTATATTAATATACTTACTTTTAAAGAGTACTTAAAAGAGAAATAGAAATTATTACTTTAATATAGTATAAATTATAATATCTAAAAATACTAGCTTCTATAGAATAATACTATATTTATTTTTATTAATAATTTCTATAATATTTAATATATTTAAGGCACTATAGTAGATTATAATATTTAGAAATAGCTAGACTATATTTAGCTATAGTTAGGGATAATTTCTTCCTATAACCTTAAACCTATATTAAATTAATTAGTAAAATTAAGTAATATAATTATAGTATATATATACTTCTTATTCTCTAAGTCTTTATTATTCTTTATATACTATTAATTAAGTTAGAAATAAAGATTTAAATTTCTATACTTATTATATAATAAAATAAAGCTAATATCCTATAAAAGTTAGTATTATAAGGAGGTAGTATATACTTAGAAGTAAAATTCCTACTTTAAATAGTAATTCTTTTAGGAGGGCTAAGACTTAAGTACTACTTTAGTAATATAGAAGTAGAAGGAAGTAGAACTTAAACCTCTCTATTTTAATTATATTAATTTCCTCTATTTACTATAGTTTTATTAAATACTAATCTAAGTCTTACCTTTAGTAGTTAAATTTAGTATATTTAATATTATTAGTAATTATTAGTATAAACTACCTTCTATTAGCTCTAGCTTTAGTTAGATTATAATTAGTTAACTTACCTTATTAATCTCCTCTATATCTTTATTACTTAGTTAAGTTCCTATTAATCTTCTAAAGCTACTTTTAAATTCTTTTATATAAGTAAGGAGAGACTTTTATAAAGTATAAGCTTTAAGTTTACCTTTACTTTATCTATAGTAGAATTACTAAAAGTCTTTTAACTTATATATTAATAGTAATAGAGCACTAGATTATAGTTTAGTAGATTTATAATATTTATAATCTAACCCTTCTAAGAGAAAGCTAAGTTTCTAACTACTAATTATTAGAATTTAGTAAAAAATAATAAGATTATATATACTTACTAAATATAAATATAAAGTATATAGTCCTATCTTTCCTTAAAGTAAGAGCTATAATTACTAATTAGAACCTTATCTTACTCCTTATATATATCTTTAATATAACTACTTAATTTAATATAGTTAATTACCTCTAATAAATTAGCTTAATATTTTTCCTTTCTTACTTAAGAGGTGGAGGTATTTTAGACTAGGTAGAAGTAAATAGAGAAATATAATAGGAAATCTAAGGTTATTAAGAGATAAGGGCTAATTTATACTTAGGTGCCTTTTATCTCCTAGTAACTACTACTAAACAGAAAGTAAGAAATAGGAAAAGGATTATAGGAAGTAGAAACTAGTATATAATATAGACTTAAGTGTAGGTCGCGCGACCTACTCACCTAGGTATATATACATACTCACCATGCACAGGCCACCTAGAGGGAGCAAAAATATTCTATAGGCTTTGGTTACCTGGTACTTAATTTCATTCATTCATTCATATCATCACCACCTAGTGTGCTACGCAAAGTAGAAAAACCATGTTTCGCTCACTTTACACTTATTTTTCTTCAATAACCTCGTAGTTTGAACCATTTCAGGTTACTCCAGGTCATTCCTAGATACGTGAATAAATAGATAAATCATCAAACCTCGTACCGATCCGTAGCATCCTTCGCAGGCCGGTAAGTCAGATAATCAAACTTGGCCTGGATCGCCAACCCATTCAGATCCGAACACGCCACGCCCACAAACGACCCCGTGAAGCTCCCGTGATCCGGATGCCCTCCGCACTCATCCGACACAATCGACGCATCATACACCGGCCCGATCTTCTCCAGCTCCCCGCCCTCGAGAGCGTAGAAGAACTGCATCCGCCACCCGCGCACCACCACCGCCAGCCTCACTTTTCCCTTATCTGGTATCCCGACCGGCGGCACAAACGGCCTCTCCAGCGCGCCGCTTGGGAACGACTCCTCCGACGACAGGAGCAGCAGCTCCCGCCGCCCGTCCGACCCGGCCGTCACGGCCAGGTAGAAGAAGTTGAACCGCGAGTAGTACACCGTCAGCCCCGCCAACTGCCTCTCGTCCTCGGGCGCGAATTCTATCGCCGTCTCCGCGTCGAACGAGAAGTGCGCCTGCCGCCGCGCCACGAGCGCCTGCTCGAACCAGGAGCCGACGGCCTCGCGCCCGATGAGGTTGAGCGTGCCGCCCTCGGTGTTGAAGATGCGCTCCGGATCGGGCGTGCGCAGCCACTGCAGGTCCTTATGTAGGGCGCCGTCCTGGAAGGTGTACCGCTTCTCGGACCAGTAGTCGGTGTCGTCGCGCGCGGCGGGGAGGTCGACGACGAGGGACGGCGCGGGACCGCCCTTGACGTAGAGCCAGTCGTCGTCGCCCCAGTAGGCCTCCTGGATGGCCGTCTCCCTGCCGAGGACGCACCGCCGCCTCTGGCCGATGGGCCGCCCCGCGAGGTGGACGAGGTAGGTCCTCCCGTCGGGGGTGTCGACGACGTCGCCGTGGCCCGCGCGCTGGAGGGCCGAGAAGGGCGTGTCCTTTGCGGTGAGGATGTGCTTCTGCGGGTGCACCTCGTAAGGGCCCCAGAGGCTGCGGGAGCGCGCGAGCGTGCAGGCGTGGTCGTAGCCGGTGCCGCCCTCGGCGGTGAGGAGGTAGTACCAGCCGTTGCGCTTATACAGGTGAGGGCCCTCGACGAGCTCGAGGTCGGTGCCCTGGAAGACGTTCCGGCGGGGGCCGACGAGCCTGCCCTCCTCCGGGTCGAACTCCTGCAGGGCGATGCCGGCGAAGAGGAGGGGCCGGGCGCGGTGGTCCCAGAGCATGTTGACGAACCACTTGCGGCCGTCGTCGTCGTGGAAGAGCGAGGGGTCGAAGCCGGACGAGTTGGCGAAGACGGGGTCCGACCAGGGGCCCTCGATGGCCGGCGCGTGGACGATGTAGTTGTGCGTGTCCTTGAAGGAGCCGTCCTTGCGCTTGACGTCGGTGTAGACGAGCCAGAAGCGCTCGCCGTCGTGGGTGAGGCACGGCGCCCAGACGCCGCAGCTGTCCGGGGCGCCGCGCATGTCCAGCTGCGACTTGCGCGTGAGCGGCCGGGTGACGAGCGTCCAGTTGGCCAGGTCGCGCGAGTGGTGGATTTGCACGCCCGGGAACCATTCGAACGTCGATGTGGCGATGTAGTAGTCCTCTCCGACCCGGACGATGGACGGATCCGGGTTGAAGCCCGGGAGGATTGGATTGCGGACTGGAGGCATTGCGTTTATCCTGATTCAAGGTTACAAAGATCAAGGAGAAGACCAACACGAAGGATTGAGCTGCTAAGTATTTGTTCAATCCGTTTCCCTAGCGGTCTGATGAAAGTGGTTTCCTCCCAGAAGGGCAGAGCATTGGTACGGCTTCGGGGCCATCCCATTAATATACGCACCCGCGACGAGCCATTCATACACAAATGGCAACCCGAACCGCGTGGGGTGAGGAGGCTCCAGAGTTGATGGAGTCTTTGGGGATATCTGCTCCAACATTGGATGCAGCTTTATCCGGCCTCTTTAGCCTGTTGGACACCAACTCCACCAGGAGATGGGATCAATTGCCTGAGTGAAGCAATTAGAACATGTGCAAACTGATACATGAAAAGCTTCCTAGTAACGTAATGAAGCTTGAGGACAATGCTATCATCGATTGAATCCATTGGACAGGCATTTGCCCTATGGCGCAACCAAATCTACCTTGCGAAAACACCATAATAAGCCAACATGGGGACACTGGCTTCAGTGCTGTCAAGAGGTACACCAGATGGTTTAGTGGTCCAATTACTAAGGTAGGCAATACTGCCTAAAATCAAACCCCATTATGCTGCTCACTCCTCGAGGGATGGACGATATGGTCTCAGAGTTCATGGTATAGTTTGATAGGTAATTTCGAAACTTGAAATTCTGGCTTTGCACTCAGTCTGCCTTGGACCCCTGGATAGTGAGATATCATGACTGGTTCGGTGAGAGTAAGCACTAGTCGTGACTCCTGTCTCACTGCCTCTGTCAAGCCCGTGGCCCGTCAGCACTCTACCTTGTAAAGAGGTTATTTATTAAGCCAAGTCCTGCGCAGCTTTGTTCCCGTTTTCCTTCCCTTGCATCCTACTTTCAATCTTCACTATGAGCTCAGATCCCACCACTGAAGCCAGGTCAGACCTCCACAAGGAGGAGGAACAGGAGGAGGGCGACGACTATTACAGTTATGACGACGACATCATCGAGAAATGGTCGGGTGTCATCAGAATAATCCGGCGAGAGACTAGGAAAGCATACTCTTCAAGTCCCGCCTTCGACCCAAAGTCTCCTGGACCCTTCCAAGCATACTAGAGGGGCATCTTCTCCAAGATCGAACAGATGGTCCTCGAGGACGCCAGCATCCCTCACTACCTTACAGAACCCCCCCTGAAACAGTTCACAGTGAGGTTCTTTGATGAGCCTGACTCCATGTGCTGCCCGTGCACTCTGCCAGACACTGAGAAGAGCATTCACATGCGCAGCGAAAGTGGCGTGACCAAGGAGGACCTCATCAAAGCCGTTACCCGGGAGCTGTGCGGCGACAAACCCCCAACTGTATTCTCGGCCGAGAACGGCTACAGCGACGCGGAGAGCAGTGACGGAGACGCGGAGAAGGACACCGCGGAGAAGAAAACCAAGGAGCACGAAGAGAAAGGAAGCAAGAAAAGAGAGAATACGGAGGATGGGAGAAACGGAGCCCTCATGTACTGGTCAGACTGGATGTCTAAAGGAGGCAACTCTCCCAACAGACTGGCCTACCTGCACTACCTGAGTGATGAACAGTACGCTCCTGAGATTATTATGTATTTCAGTTCCTACAAGAATTTCAATCGCCGGGTGGAATTTGTTGAGAAGAAATTCGGCAAGGATGGAGAGTTATGATCCTTACCATCTAAGCAGAGAGAAGCTGCAATTTTCTTTCTCAAGCATGACAGCCTCTCATTCTCCCGTTATTTTAATACCAGGTCCGTCATCTGATTGAGATCGAAAGCTTAAAGATTATTGTTCAAATGATGACAGATATTTCTGCTAATCTTCACACGAGTGTCAATTATATTCGACCGTGATAAGGACGAAACCTGTTACTGTTAATGATGAAAGGTTTTTTGGCGCGTCTAATATGCATACTCTGTAAAAAAAGTCAACACTGGAAAGTATATTTCTAAAAGAAAAGAAGGTTTCTAAACTAAACACAACGAATACAAGGGGGTTCACCCTGATGCCTCTCGCCATCTAATGGCCCACTCCCCTGAGCTAGGGGCCTGCCCTTGAGAGCTCTCCGACACTTTGATCTAACTTCAACAATCACCGTCTCTGAGTCCACTTGCGATGAACTCAGATATCCATGTCAATGTGGAGTTGGTTTCAAACAAGCCAAGCCGGGGGGGTCTATTCTTCCGAGAACCTAGTCTCTCGTCTTCTTTACTCGTAGTCCTCCACCTCTCCCAAGTCTCTTCGGCCTCGGCCTCCATGGGTATATCCAACGCCGGTAGGTCGGTTTGGTGGCGGGCGAGGAATATTGGCAGGAGGCTTAGCTCGAACACCGAGATCTCTTCGGCCTCGACCTCCATGAGTGTAACCAACACCAGTAGGTCGGTTGGGAGGGGGACGAGGGATATTAGCAGGAGGCTTAGCTCGAACATCAAGATCTCTTGGGGCTGCTTGTTCTCGGCCTGCATTGGCATGACTGACGCGGGCAGGTCGCTTTGGTTTTGGGCCATGACTATTAGCAAAATTACGCCAGGTTTCAATGTTTCTTCGTCCTCGGACTCCCCGACCTCCATGAGTGTAACCAACACCAGTAGGGCGGTTTGGTGGGGGACGAGGGATATTAGCAGGAGGCTTGGCCCGCACCTCCAGCTCTTCCCAGACATCTCTTTCATCAAGATCTCTTCGGCCCCGTCCTCCATGAGTATAACCGACACCAGTAGGTCGGTTTGGTGGGGGACGAGGAATATTAGCAGGAGGCTTAGCTCGAACACCGAGATCTCTTCGGCCCCGGCCTCCATGAGTATAACCAACACCGGTAGGGCGGTTTGGTGGCGGGCGAGGGATATTAGCAGGAGGCTTGGCTCGCACCTCCAGCTCTTCCCAGACATCTCTTTCATCAAGATCTCTTCGGCCACGGCCTCCGTGAGTATAACCAACGCCGGTAGGTCGGTTTGGTGGCGGGCGAGGGATGTTAGCAGGAGGCTTGGCTCGCACCTCCAGCTCTTCCCAGACATCTCTTTCATCGAGATCGTCACGGGTTTCTAAGAGAAGACCATCGTTGAGGAAGTCCTCGCCTCGTGCCTCAAGACCATTGTCCTCGATGAAATCAGCGGTGACATGGCTCGTGAGACCGAGAACGATGGTCGAGACGAGAGGGATGTGTTTCATAGAGACCATTTTGGAAGAATAGTTGCAGTACCAGCCAGTGATACCTGTCTTAACGAAAAGAAGTAGAAAAGTAGAAATGCAAGGAAATGCAAGGAAATGTATTGATAGGGAATGGTGTTGAAGCTTTGATTCTGTTTATTGCCAAACAATCTGGTTCCTGAATGCTAACTAACGATACCTTTTATATAAAGTCTTTTGTGTATTTATAGGTTCTTTTGTATACATACTATGGATGAAACATTTAAAATAGCATTATTGGATTGAGGATTGATTGCTTCTGTGGGGATTTAATATATATCCATGCTTCTTTCACCTTGCTAGTCCGACATGACGCAAGCCTGTGTCGCCATGTTCGGCAAAGGTCGTTTTGGGAATAGTTACGTCCGACGCTTCACGTTGACCTAGTAATAATCAGACAATGAAAATTCATTAAATCTCTTGTCATGACACTTGGGCTCATTGCCACCTATCGGCCTCATCATCAAGGCACGTGGGATGGGAAAATTACTCGGTAAATAAGGGAGTATGGCGGATGGGAATGGCCTCTATGGGCAATTCGTATGGCCAAGGGCAGAAGAGCCGAAAATGGGCTCCCGGAGAGAGATGATTGAACACGCAGCAGCTCTCGAAGGATGGACTTGAGTTGATTCCCTAGCACTACACCGGCAGATCTGCTAAGGTGCCGAGTTGGGACCATGATAATCATATCATTTCCTCATGAAGCTGTAGCTAATGTCATATATACTCCCTGGTATTATCATGCCCAGTTTCTCGAGATACTGCCAGACACCCACCACTGCACTCTCTAAACTCTTGAACTCTCGCCCCAGCACCTTTTTGGTAGCGTCCGAATCATAAATCATCGGGCATATAGGCAGTTTCCCCTTTTAAAAATGCGCCCCTTCATTGCCTTGGGATACGCGGCCTTGGGATAGCTGAACATCTGGGCGTAGTCTACCTTGCGTAGCAGGTACGCCTCAAAGACGTTCTTGTGTACATTGAGCATGGGGGGTAGCACAGCGCGGGTTGTGGTAGAGACGAACCTCTGAGGGATGATGCCGAGGTTCGCCACAATGGACGACCTGATGACTACACGCTGGACGTTTGGTGTCTCGCCAACATTTTAATTGCCGGCTCATACTTCCGTTCTAGGGTCGGCTGACGGTGGGATTTGGTTAGCCCCATGAAGAATCCGAGCTCATGGTTCGATTCCTTTGACAAGGGTTAAATGGCTGGATCGTAGCGGGGAAGAAAGAAGCCGTATTTGCCTCAGTCTTGCATTGCCCAGTCCAATTTAAACTACCTAGGTACCTAATAGAGAGCGAGCCGACAGGCTGGTATAGTATATCCCAAACGACGTTTCCCTACTAGTATACACACAAAGTGAAGGTGTAAGATGGGAATTAGTGTAAAGGGCCGATACCTTGAAAACCTGACCGCGTAAATCGGCTCGTCCTCTTTGGAGAAAGTGCATGATGGCAGTTCCGCCCATGATTTCGACGGCTTGATTGTCTCCTTCACAAGGAGGGCATGGACTGCCTCAAGGCGAAGTCGTGAACGCTAGGGGTAGTATTTCCCCAGACACAGCGAACAGGGAAGGCAGTACCTCAAGCAATTGATTGATAAAATTTAGCCTGTTGACACGATGCCGATGTCGGTGGAACCAAACTCTGTTGGGGCGGAGTGCGCTTGTCTCCTGAAAACGGGGTTGTGAGCCCCATCGTGGAGATCGATCTGCCACAAGGATCCATCAATCTGCCCATCGTGTCTCTTCTGCTCATCTCGCTGAGGACCCTGAACGCCCGAGGTAGCCCTGAGATTGGCCTGATGCAGTCCGGTACATTGAGGTTCGACACCTTCGTTGCGCGCGAACCCAATCCCGCACGGCAACATGGCAAAACCAACCAAGCGCGGTTCCGCGACACAGGCAGAGTCCGACGTGGTTAGAGATGAAAGAAAGTGAGTTGCGACCCCTGCGGAATCTCGTTCTTCTGCCTTCACCTCTCCTTCGATCTGACCTGATGACTTAGGAAAATCCGCAATCGCCTCTCCCAAAGAGCTTTTCGCAGGAGGCGAGAAGAGCACATGAGGGAACTTGAGAGCCGCGCGAATGCCTCGGAGCAGCCGGATGGTGATAGAGTTGTGGTTCTCGAGCAAGAAAATAGGCGATTGCGAGCACATATCACCCAGCTTCAATCACAGCTCGAAAGTATACAAGCGACAATCCAGCTCATGACCAAGTCGTCGACTCTTCTTCTCGATGCCAGTGACCCTCCCAGCAATGGAGACTTGGAGATTGAGCAAGTTCGAACACAACATCAAAGTGGACAGGACCCGAGCAACACAGCTAGCACTTCTAAGGAGGTTTTGTGGGCGCCTGCTACTACAAATAACAATCAACAAAACGCCAGCAGCAACTTCTCGCTTCTCCTTCGTGGAAGCAATTCGGGGAGATTCTCACCCTCTTTTGTCAGCCACAACATGGAAGCAGGGATTGATGCGTTTGCCGAGTCGCTTGGCCCGATTCAACTCGAGTCTCTCCCGCTCACACGAACGCCTGAGTTCTGGGGGCTCAGCCACCAGATGGGATCACAAGCGTATACAAATGCTTTAGAATTAAGCTTGCCATCGCCATCCAGTGCTCTGGTTGGTTTGAACTGTGTCGAGTCTAACTCGCCGTTCTCGGATCACATTCAACTCCTTAAGAAGTTATTGAAAACAAAACTGAAGCAACCACACCGTATGGACAGAGCCTTTTGCCAAATGTGAGTTGCCCTGATGTATGTGAATCAGGCTGGAATCTGCTGTTTCTAACTTCCTTTGTTAGATTGTACCAATCGGTATCCAGCGTTTTAGCCATGTTCAATAGCATCACGCGCCCAGATGTCATGAACTGGTATGCGAAGACGCGCTTCTTCCATATCGTTGAGCTCACTGCCTGGCAAATCTTCCCCTCGCCCATGACTTTCTCTAGGCTGAGCGAGCGTTATAAACCAACTAGATCTCAGCTCGCACTCCAAGGTCAATATCCATGCGTGGTAGACTGGATCCCCTTTGCGTCAATCCGAGACCGGGTTATTCAACTGCACGCCGCGAACCCGTGCATCGACCAGATATTCTGCGATGCGGTGAGCGCATACGTGGTTGAGTCTACCATGTCGGAGTTGATCATGGGAACCTCTCCCATCAAAGTCTACGTTCGAGTCACAGACTTGATTGCAAGCATGTCCCCTGACCAGACTCGACAAGAGAGACTGGACATCAACGGCGTACAGCTCCCTGCTCCTGACTTGAGGACGCTCTTCTCGTCGCCCAAGTACGCCCAATTGGCATTTGGATATCTTCGGATGGACTGCGGGGCGCAGGAGTACAAAATCGACCCCATGTTCTTTGGGAAGTACCCTGAGCTGTGTGATCCATCCGATGATATTCTCGCTACTGGTGTGCCACTCAGGCCAGAGAGCCAGATAACGCTCACCAGCCCGAGGCACCTCGACCCCATGACCATGACGATATACAGCAGTTTTATTAATTTTTCACTCGATGCGGTCAAAGCCTTTTCAAATCATACTACAAGTAAACGGAATCACAAAGTTACGGTGTCGGGCTAAGAGTATCATACAAGCACTAGGAAAATCATTGACTGGCCTGGACCATAGAACATGAGTTAAGTGACCAGGCATAATTCTGCCGTCGTCGCTGTTTGGGGTGACATGGAATGCGACGTTGCCTGGACTTCGTAGAAAGGCTTTTCTGTGGATGGGCCTTGCTCGTTTCTGGTCGCATCATCTTGCTTCTCTTGTGAATTTCTCTTTCGCAACGGCAGAATAATCCATACAAGGAGAGCAACGACAGCCACACCACCAACACTTCCACCAACAAGCTCGGGCAATCCAAGAAGATTCGCGGCTGGAGCCAATGCTGTTACTTTGGTTGGACTCTGAGTCAGATGATTCGGTCACGGATGCATTTGCTGTTGTGATCTGGCTGGTGGTTGATGTATGGTTGATGTATCTGACGAGGGTAAACTTTGAGTCGATGACCTTGATTCAACGCCTGTGAGAGTGGCTTCCGTGTTCTTGTAAGAGGAACACGCTGATTCAGAGCTGCTGGAAGCACACCCAATCATGGTCAATGAGAAAGAAAGTGGCGCCCGAATATTCATGGAGCCAAGCATTCCCACAAGACTGGATGCCTAAGTCACTATGGCCCGTATTCTAGAGGCTTCCAAATCTACAAGTCTCACTTGAATGAATGGGATGCAAGAGAAGCTCATCACCGACTCTTAGCTCAAGAAGGTTTCAAAGATCGAGCCGGGGATTGCCAAGGGCCAACAAAGAAAGGGTACTGGGAGAACAAAGCGCGTGGGTCTTCAGAAGTAGATTTCATCTAATTCAACAAAGGAAGATGTCTTTTTTCTCCAAAATTAAAGATTTATGATCCCATTTTTCTCCATATTAGTTCCATTGAAGACTGAGAAATTGAACAAGTAGACGTGGAAACTCTTTGTTTTTCCAACTTATTGTGCCATGTCCCTTCTCGGGGAGCCTCGTAACTATATCATGGGCTCTATGGTGGGATTGGGTCTGTTAGATTAATAGCTAAATCTATCATCACTTAGACCTCGAGTTTAAATAAGCTTTTATGGTGCTAGCAAGTGGCTGAAATAAAACATGGCGCACCAGAACGCCACTCCCAGGCTGCCTGTCATAACCAGATTAGGGAAGACATGGCTCACACGCCCTGCGTTTTAGAAAATAAGCGACAAAATTCAATCTAATGGTCATGACGGTTGAAATAAAAGCGATCTGTTTATTTGATTACGACTATCTGATTCGAATGGGTGGAATGGGGATCATTATCGTAGATCATACCGTCCTTCGTAGATTCTGTGGACGGAGGTAATAGCTGTGGACTTGGGAGGAAGTAATCGCACATAGACATGCAGGAATGGAACGCCGGAGATAGCTAATCAGGAGACTTGCACTAACGATCATTGATGGTTGGGC